CAGCCAGCCTTGCTGGCTGGGGGATCCTGGGAAATGAAGGCCACACGTCTTCAAGTTGCCAAGGTTGAGAAATGCTGCATCAGTTGATCAGATCAACCAAATCTTGCTGTTCTGCACAGGCAGATTGACCTGTGAGGTTCTTTGGACTTCACAACAATTTCTTCTCCTTGGGGAATATGGTCACCAACAGCAAAACGCTTTCTGTGCCCAGCGTCTGCCATGCAATGGCTGTATTCACACAACATACTGAACCTCACTGGCCACCCTCATTCAGGTCTAGCATGAGGTATGCACAGGGCCAAGGGCTTAATTTTCCCCCCCAAAATGTGATGCAACCCCAGAAATGTTGATTGGCAAGGTGCAGTACATGGTCACCCTTATTTGGAATCATCAGAGGTAGATAGCCAGATGTCATTCTATGGGGTTCAAACCCTCTTCCAAGAATTGAACTCATGGGCTGGTGCCTTCTTAGACAACTGTACCCTGGCCCTGTTGCAGGAAGCGATGTCCAGTATCTGTCAGGGTGGTAGATACAGTCCACCTTTCCTTAAGTTAGTGTTTCTCAACCTTGGGAACTTTAAGATACGTGGACTTCAACTCCCAGAAGTCCCATGGCTGGGAGTTGAAGTTCCCATGGCTGGCTGGGGAATTCTGGGAGCTGAAGTCCACACATGTTAAAGTTCCCAAGGTCAAGAAACAGTGCCTTAAGCTCTCAGAAAGATCAAGTAAGAGATAGTAACATCTACATCTCTCTGCTCTGAGAGCATAAGAGAAGGTGGGCTGTAGAGACCATTCTGATAGCAACCCTGGAACTGAACTGACTAGACCGCAGTGACGTTAACCATAAATCAATGGGTCAAGCAGCACGCCTGATACTTCTTTTGAGTGACCCACAGCCCTGTGTAGGGATAAGAGCGAAATGCATCATAGGAACCAGTTGCAAATGGGGGTCTGGAGTCCCCTCTGAATAGCAGACATGTTCTTTGCCTTGGACTCTCGTTGCGTTTTGACCGCGTTCCATTGAATTCCCACCTCGGCAGGACCCGGGGCCAGCAACGACCCCTGCTCCGACTCTTACCACGGACCCAGAGCCAACTCGGAAGTCGAAGTCCAGTCTATTGTGGATTTTGTCAAGGGGCACGGGAACATCAAGGCGTTTATCAGCATTCACAGCTACTCCCAGCTTCTCATGTACCCCTATGGCTATCAGTGCACCAATGTTAAAGACGTGGAAGAGCTGGTAAGACTCTGGGTTCACGGGGCGGTATACTATTCATTGTATAAACCAGAATGGCTAGATTCCTGCAGTGTGCATGACCTGATCCCTGCAACCTACATCTGGTAGCCTCATATGACACATATCCAGAAGATCAGCTAACATCTGGCAGTTAAGCAAGTCACACCGTGAGATGTGAACCTAATGATAAGGTTTGCTTGTTTTTGTAAGTACCTGTGGGATTAATAGGTCTTTGATAAACAAAAGGCTGCTAATCGTCGTTCTTCTACCACGCGCTCCTAATTGAAAATCAGCTTTCGTGAACAAAGAAGGTGTGTTTTCTTGCTGGGGTGGAGGGACCACTGTTCTGGAATAGGTCCTACGTGGCTTCAGTGGCTGGGAAAGCAAGTCTCCCGTTGACCTCAATGATACTTTCCTCCCAGCCTGAATCGGATGTAAATCCTCTATCAGGACCCACCAAGAAAGAACCAGAAGCTCTAAAGAAGGTTTTCTTAAAGATCCAAGATCCTGATTAGGTAATATCACTCTGAGGCCCATTTACGATTGCCGTTTTTATCAGAAAGTGGGCTATAAATCTGACAAGCCCATTCATTAAGATTCCCACACTCATAAAATAGCCTGGAGGTTTTCGGCTTCTTCTCTTTCTTCTGCCTTTTC